AGTTATCAACCAATCAGCACAATGAAGGTGAGGTAGATGCATCAGTAGCAGGAGCAGAGCAATCCAATGGAATTAGTTGAGAGTAATACGAGTATTAACAGATACGCAGCTGGTGTGAAATCCAATATTTCATTTGATGCATCAACAAATGAAACGACGGCACCATGAGGTTAGTTGACGGAACCAATGGCGACAGTAACACAAATACATACATTGAGTACAATAACATAAAAAACGGAGCATTGTCAATAGTGCTGTTAGTATTAACAACGATCTCTAATTTTAACCGATTCTGGTCAAGGGTATTCACCAGAATTAAGCACAACAAGTGGCAGAGTCAATTGTCACGGACATCTCAACATTTCACATAATACAACAATTGGTGGAGTAGAGCAAATAAACCTTGGAAATCCAGACTCCGATGCAAAACCATTTTTGGAATACAAGCAGTTTGTAGCAGATACTGCCAGAGCAGTTGTTGATGGTGATGTTGAATAAACAGGTTTGCTAATTTGCAGAGCTAGATTGCAAGAACGCTGTTGGTTTAGTTAAACACATGGTTCCAAAATCTTATCATTTTTACGAACAAGAAAGATGTTTATGTTCACAAACTCCACGACGAAGAGATCAGGTTTCCAAACAAGAGACTGGGACTTTACCAGATTAGATACGATGACGCGATGAGGGCATAATAAATTTCAAGGATCCATGACTTGTATCTTAATGACAGAAGGTTCTGGATAAAAGAGCAAATAGGGAAAACTACATTCAAAATCAGAACTGAAGTTGTTAAACAACAGCGAAGTTAGGGACGCCTTAACCGGTGTGCCAAATTGAAAGCAACTGCACGACCACGGTCTATGTAACGCATGGAAAATGTTTGTTGAAATTGGTGATGTGAGGACAATAGACATTATGAGAAGTCAGCAAGCAGAAAGGAACCCAAGATGCTTGTTCCTCATAGTAAGTATTGTTGTATGTCACGGCATTCAAAGGACAGGGTTGTGATCTTTGGGCTAGCTTTCTATGAGGGGCGCTGACCCCAGACCTCATTAGTGAATGGTCGAGGGTAGGATTTGTTTAGGTGATTTTGGGTTTAGGGTTGTGTTTTGGATCTTTGTGTTGGTTTTGGCGTGTTGCTTTGTTTTTGGTTTTTTTTTTTTATGGATTACCGTTTGGACTGTGGGTTTAGAATGGTGCTTTATTGGGCGGGTTGGGAAATGGAGTTGTGATGGGAAGCCCCAGGCACACATCGACGATGCAGGCTTTCCCGGCCTTTTCCCTGTGGAGTGCTGTAACTTGAGTGCCGATGAGCGTGGCATCATCAGCTGGGAGCCCAGCCGCATGAGCAGCATCGCATGGCCTTGCACTTTGGTGCCTTATCTCAAAGACTCGTAGAGCCTCGAAGGTGGGGAGAAGTGAGCAAGTCTAGGATGCTCTTCCGCAAAGGTGGTCTGAATTCCTTCGGCTTCGGTGGCACCAATTCACGGGGCGAGGTTCTGTGGGTCCCGTTGCGCAACAGGCGGAAACTGCGAAAAGCCTGGGCCTTTCCCTGGCAGATCTGGGCCATGAGCCGCTCGGTAATGCGACGGAATTCGGACAAGGCCCTGGGCTGAAATGTGTTTAGGGCTGTAAAGCCTCACCGCTCTTCCCAGGCGCTTGCCAGTGTGCGGAAGCGGGAGGCAGGCTTAGTGTGTGCTCGGGAGGGTCTGAGCCGTTGCGAAACTGACAGGGCCAAGCGCAGGAGATTGCCGTTACGGTTCCGTGCAACTCGTGCGGAGAACCCATGCACTACCTTGATGGCCGCGCACTGCAACTGGGACTCGTAGCATCGCCATTTCTCTTGACTCCGAGAAGGGTTGTGCCAAGGCAGGGTGGCGCAGGGACCCATCACTGCACGGACATCCGCGAGGACGTGGCCGTTGTCTCAGGTGTCCTTTGTCTCGTGTGTTTGCAAGCAGACGCGGCGGATTTCAAGGCCTCCTACGAGACTTGCAGCAACTGCTACACCGGTGCCTACCACTATCGAGGCTGGCCGGACGGTTTGGTGCCGGACGGTGTGGTTTCTCCCACATCCCAGAGCCCCTATAAGCGGTGCTGCGCCCGGGGCCATGAGAGATCGGGCACCATGCGGTGCGCTGGTCATTGCTTTTGTGGCAGTTCGGAGGCCTCAGCTGCTTTGCGCGTAAATTATGTTTTCGGCAGGAACACTAGCCTGAGACGCCGCCTGTGAGTCTGGCCCTCCCACGCCTGCATGTGCCGACTTGAGTGTAGCCAGAATCCTAGACGCCTAGATTGGTTGGGGGAGAATCAAAGTCGTAGAAGCATTGCGCCTTCCGCAGAGGCGTGGGGAACAAATGACATGTACAGAAACGGTGCTGTACTGGCAGGGAGCATTTCTCAGATGTGTCCTGAGTGCGAGCACCTAACCTCAAGACCCAGACCACAAAACTAAACTGGCTGAAGATGGTTCCACCACTTCCTGCTGGAGATCCTTCTTCCACAGTCGCATGCGCGCAGCATTGAATACCACGCGCTCATGTTGTCGGCTGGCAGCAGCTGCGCTGGATCTTTAGGTAGAGTCTAAATCCGGATTGAGATGGCAGCGGGGTACCTGATTCGAGCTCAATACTACGAGCCAGTTACTGAGCCGCCGGAGTTTGGGATTACATGGATGTAGTTTGAGCATTTTCCCCCGGGGCAGAGCCCTGTGCATTCCGCGATCGAGCTGCTGAAAGAGAATCTGCATAGTCCCGAAGATAGGGAGTTAAATCCTCATTTGAGCCGCCTGAGAATCTGAGAAGCGAGAATCGAAGCTTTAGAGAAGGTGGGAGGCCATTCATGCTTTGCCATGGATATCTCTTAAAGAAACACTGCAAGGTGTACATGGTTCGAATTACAGCATTAGACCTGGAGAGTGCTACGGGAGAGTTTTAGCACGTGTTCTCGAGTTTTATTTTTTCACACTCGCTAGGGAATGAGACAGATTGCCCACATACATATACATAAGCATATATATATATATACCAATAAATAAATAGATAAATAAATAAATAAATATATATATATGTATATATATATATAGATATCATAGTATATGTACATACATGCATACATACATACATACATACATGCATGCATGCATGCACACACACACACCGACCGCACCGGATGTTCCAGTATTGCATCATTGACAGAGTGACAGCTTTCAGGTCAGCTTGTTTTGATGTTCGGGGTTTCAAGCGTGCCGCCGAACTCGTATCATGGTTTGGAGGGCTCGGCACCCATTTACCGCGCCACCATTATGAGTCTTAAAGCTTTGGTTTTGCCAGTTGCCATACCCTGGTGGTCTCAAGCCCTCTTTCTGGGTTTCAGGTGCCAGGGGCAGCTTATAGGGCCTTATTATGGGGTTAAGGGTTTGCCAACCATCATACATGATCGAAGGTCCAGTTTGGGTTGGGGACCCAGTAACCTTGTCTAAGGCTTGCCAGGCATCGAATTTTGAGGAATCTAGACCCACTTCCGTTTTGCGAAGGGGTCTGATGTGCGGCACTCATGATTGCGTTTGGAGATGTCGTCTGGAAACTTTGGGTTCGAGCTCAGACATGAGCTATTCGGGCTGAGAGCCAATCACTACCTTCAGGATTCCGGGAAGGAGTCACAGGTCTAGGACTTGCCACACCATGTTGAGTGTTTGTAAGAACTCAGGCTTTTGGATACGCCACCCATCAGCTCCTTTCCGAATGTGGGACGCTGGCGAATTCATTACTCCTTTTCGGGTCTGGGGGCTGCAGCCCATCATCGCCTTGGCTAGTTTCGGATCTGACCAACCTACCCGGCTAGGATGTCGGGGTTTTGAGGACCCATTGCATTCCCTTTTTTGAGGGCTTGTGGCCTTGGGGTCTGGTTTTTACCGTCTGCTTTAGATCCAGCATTTCCGATCAGGGTTCGGCCTGATTCGAGCCAGTCACCAGAAAGTTGACTGGCTCGAACACCCGAAACCATGGCCAGAGCCGGGCACGCTGCGTGGTAAACCCAAGCCCGCAATACAGATGATGGGCGGCAGCCCCTTGGACCCGAAAAGGTGTAACTGGTTGCCGAGCGCACCGAAGAGATAATGGGTGGCACACCCAAAACTCGACTTTCTGTAGAAAAAACTAGACTTAGACGGTAAGCCCTAAACTGGGTGACGGGGTCAGGAAAATCTCAAGCACCAATGGCAACACCTTCGAAGACATGATGGCTGGGAACCCTACACTTTAAACCCTGCTGGTCCATACCTCAGCCATTGTGGCATTCTGGATACCCCCCGGGCAGACGGAAAAGAGGTGTCAAAAAAAAAAACCCTGCTGGTCCAACGGAAAAAGGCGTTCGAACAAAACCTTGCTGGCCGAACCCTACCAGAGAATGTCGGGTGATATACTAAGGCCTGGAAACCTAGCAAACCCCTCACACTACAAGGAATCCAACCTTCCTTGCATCTCTCTCATGTGAATGCTACGAAAATCCGGAAAGTTAGCAATAACTCACAAAAACACAAACTTTGAACACCACAACTACGCACCGCCCGGGCCAAACGTTTTGTAGACTTCTCACTGGCCTTCCTCCAGTCGCTAGTTGAAAGCCATTGCGCTGAGTACTGTTGCAGCTTGATGTTACCGTGCAGAGAGATGTGCAGTCGCATGCATGTCAACCTCTGCACGACCCGATGAAGCTGGTTCAAGCAGCCCAAGTTACTGCATGTCAAGACCGAAGCTGCACGAATGCGAAGATGACAACCTAGCTTAGGCGAGCTCGCACAGTGAGGTGCAGACAGTAGTGACTGCACATTCGAAGAGAGCCCAATGTTAAGTACAGTGACAGTCCTCTACCCCTGTTGCCAAGAACGGCCGGAAACCGGAGTTGGCTGTTGCACCTCTTCAGGACCGGGAGGGAGACGGCAGGGGTGCAGGCTTTGAGGCTTTTGAAGCGAGTCTGTAACCGGAGGCGCCAGGCGCCACATGCCGCAGCTGTGCAAGTTCTATGCGCAGGCAGAGACTTGGAGAATTTCACTCGCTCTCTTCCCTTTCTTCTGCTCTCCTGGAAATTTGGCTTGCGGTCGACATGTGCCCATGTGCCGAACATTTCAAGCCGCTACAGGGACGCTGCGCGTTCGGCAATGCTTGCAACATGTGGCACGGCGACCCGAATGGCACCAACGGCAGTAACATCACCAACGGAGGCTACAAGGTTCGCTGCAGAGTGGAACGACCAGCATAAGTTTTGCTGATTCTCACTTGCTTGCGAATTTCAACGTCATCTCGACTGCTGTTTTTCTGTGGAGGATCATTCGTTCGTTGATTACCTTACTGACTGATCACCAGGACAGCGACAAAAAGGCTTTCCCGTGCCGCGCCTGGAGCGAGCCGAGCGAGCCTCGGAGGATTTAGGGCTCTTTTGGCTCGCTCGTCTTCCTCCGAGGGGTGGCGCGAAGGCCTCCGCGAATGGAACCAACGGCCAGGACAGGAGGGGGCAGCCATGGGCAGCTCTTGAGACACTGGACGTGTTACTGTGACATTGTGGTCATTGTGCATCTTCATTCCTTTCACTGCTTGAAAAAACCCGACACTTCCCGAGCTTCGCAGGCTCATGCAGCAGGCACTGGGTGGACAGGGGGGAGTGATGGGAGAGGTCGGTTGCATAGCTGACGGTACACTTTCAACCCCCCTGGCGGCACCTGGCCACTCCGCACCAGGCGCCACAATCTGCCGCCACTTTCTGCAGGGGCGATGTGCCTTTGGCTCTCCCCTCAACACTGCCAAAGCTCAACACAAAATCAGATGGCCAAAGGCCCTGTGAGAGCAGCGGTCGCGGTCCGAGGTGATGCTTGCCGCAACCTCCACACGATGCCGGAGCCGCGGGAGCCAGCGCTTCCGGCGGTTCCAGTGGCGAACGGCCAGAGCCGTGTCCCGGGCCCGGCGGTTCCAGTGGCGAACGGCCACAGCCGTGGCCCGGGCCCGGCGGTTCCAGTGGCGAACGGCCAGAGCCGTGGCCCTGGCATGCACCCGGGTGGCCCGGGTGCGGAGGCGACCACGGCTCGAGCAGAGCGGCCCCGCCCGAGGTGCGAGAGCAGTGGGGTCTCAGCTCGTCGGCGCTTTTGTCGTGAAAGGCCTGTGGAAGAGTTTACAGAATGCGGCATTTGCTTCGAGAATGTCGAGCCCTTGAGTTTCTGTGACCCGACAAGAGAACAGGCCAAGTCGATCTTGGAAAGTGCAATCATCCTGCAGATTTGATACACCGAGGTCATGAAGAGAGGTGAACGTTTTGGAATGCTAGAAAGCCGTGGCCCCGGGGCATTGTCAGAGCCGGAGATCGAGTTGAAAGTCTGAAGTCAAGTCATGTTTAACGCAGTCAGGGCTTGCAGCATGGATGCTCTCTCTCTCTCTCTCTCTCTCTCTCTCTCTCTCTCTCTATAAATATATATACACACATACACACACACATATTATTATTATTATTACTCTTCTTCTTATTCTTATTATTAATCATATATATATATATACATACATGCAGGTATGCATGCATGCATGGATGGATGTATTACATTACACCCCTGTTTGGAGATGTTGGGATGCATTACATTACATTGGTGCTCCAGCACATAAAGTCACGGACAAGCCCATCATCTTAGGCACTGTCTAGGAGTGTGTGAACTCAGCTTGTGGAACTCAGCCTGTTGCTCGAAAAGCTTGGCGTTGCAAAGAGGCCCGGGAGCCGCCGACAACGGCCAGGGCCAACAATGACTTGTTCCTTAGGCAAGACAGCCCAACGAGGGGGTTCCTCTGGGGAAGCAAGGAAGAAAGAGAAAGACAGGGAGAGAGAGAGAGAGAGAGAGCGTAACCTCAGGCAGCTTTTAGTTCCGTGTGCCTACTGACTACTGTGAAGTTTTTCTAGCCACGCAGTCCTTTATTGTTTTGCCGAGCCCGACCACATGCGCTGCGTTGCAGAATTTCAGAAAAAGGTGCTTGTGTCCAAGGCTGCGACCACGCATTTTGCCTCAGCTGTATCCGCGGTTGGCGGCGCGAGCGGGAGCAGCAGGCGCAGCGCTCGAATGTACTGAAGTCAGTTGTAGTTGTGGCCGTTGAATCGTACCCGTAGCTCTTCGGCATGGACATGCTGAGCGCAGGATAAGCAGAACCTGCGGCTTTGTCCGGTTTGCCGCAATGTCTTTTGGCGCAGTTTCAGAGATTCCGCACCATCCCCTGATTCGGAGGGAGTCATATACCGGTACCTGAGGAATCCTTCTACGTGATTCCCACGGACCATATCATCTTGGACCCCGAGGAAAAACGCCGGCCGCCTCAGTCAGTTTCGGGCTTCGTGCACCGTCAGGCTTTGGTCGGAGAGCTCCCAGTTCTTTGCAATCGCACTTAGGAGAAGTCATCGACTCCTACAAGCAGGCGAAGCGGCGTCGCTTCGGCGCAGCCTTGTTACATATTTGCGTTCTGGTTGTGGTAGCCTGTGGTAGCTGTGAGTTTCGCAGGAGATGGGCCGCATCCCATGCAAACTCTTTGACTACGGCCGAGGAGCAAAGAGAGCTGAGTGAAGGGCATGGTCTGTTGAAGCTTCTGGGAAGGCCACTGTCCATTTGGCACCAGCTGTTTCTATGCCCACCTCAATCCGGACGGCGGGGGACTCACCCGATTTCCGACATGGCCTGCTTGGCTCAGCTTTTCTCTCAGGCACGCGGTACATCCCGCCACCGCTCAAGTGGATGCGAGGAGCCGAAGGCTTGTGGCGGCCGGTGCCCAACAGCAAGACTGCTGTCGTGAACGCTCCCGTGAAGGTAGCCAGGTGAAGTCGGAAGTGAAGATCTCCGACTTCTTTGACTGAGGCTTTTTGGGGCCAGGACCTCAGGGGCCGAGGAGCGTTGTCTTCGAAACTTATGCGGAGTGGGGTAGCAGTTTCCTCTGCTTCAGGCTTCTTCCCTAAGCGCGTTCGAGTCGACAGTAATGCTGGTTCCTGCATCCATTTCCTTCCTTCGAGATGCTCTTCCATATGTCCTTCGTACACAATCCGCTAGGACCCAGCTGCAGACCTCCTGTAAGCCGAAAAAAAGGGAACGCCACCGTGGCCCTTTCATTTAGATGTTTGTGTGTGTGTGTGCGCGCGGGTGGGTGTGTGTGTGTGTGTCAAGTGTAATTAGGTGGGGTGCTCTTTTCCCCTAGGCAGAAAGTGCCAACAGTCCTAGCAGGTCCACACTATGAGGCTTCTCTGTGGAATCCTAATCTCGCCAGTGCCAGAGGGGAAGGATGTTCATAGTCCTTCTTGTGGTCATGGTCGTCTTGGTCGTTCTCTATTTGGGGATCTACGCTGGCACACGTCAAGCCTCCAAAGAAGATGCCCAGCACTTCCGAGGACCATCTCAGCCGCCTCCACGCCTTCCTGCGGCTCCGGCGACCAATGCCAGCCTTCTGCACCTGCCAAACCCGGCTGGGCTAGGGGAGAACTGGCCGCCATCAGCGTCGCAAGATCGAAGAAAAGCAATCAGCACAGAGTTGCAAATCACAGCCACCTCGAGTTTTGATCCCTTTGTTCTGCGTCTGTGCATGATTGCTTGGTGTAGCATGGACACCGCCGCAAGCCTCCAGCACAACGGAGCGACTGTATCGTTTCATCACTGCAGCAGCATGGGGACCCAGAATAGAACGGAGACGTAGACGTCCAATGATGCTGACTTGCAAAGAAGACCCGGACATGCTTTCGACGTCTTTCTACGACAGTCGTGTCTAAAGGCGAGTGCCAAATCCCTAAAGGCGTCTTCAACTTAAAGCAACTCAGTTGAAAAGCCATGTGGGCAGGAGTTTTCCAAGGGGGGCTAGAGGCTCCAACAGACGGCCTCTGCCCAAGTGCCCAGGAGCACTTGATAACACTGCAGCAATCGCTTTCAGACAGAAGGGTCCTGCGATTCCCATGCTGTTGGGTTGTGCGCAATGGGCCAGAAGGGTACGCGTTCGATGCTACGTCAACGCCAAGGTGCAGCTCGTGGGGTTGTAACAATTGTAGTACAATAGCAAGATGGCCCCGCGCTGTAGCTGTAGCCCCCTCAGCCGTAGCTCGAAATGACCTTTTTTTAGCCGCTCTGAGCTCAGATGACTCAACGACGCCGGGACTTCGAGGAGAAGGCCACGAGATTCGGAGTTTATAAACACAGCGGCTATACAACCCCACATCTGTTTCTGCTTTTCCACTGCCTCTTGCTGCCCTCTGACATCATGATGCTGCAAGGACGACGACAACTAATTATCCTAGCACTTAGAGTGGCTTACAACCTTGGCAAGCTATGGCAGCTGGAATGACAAAGACCGTAGCAATGCCAGTGCCCGGATTCATGCAACGCTCCCTAGGAGAGTCTCTTCCTCAAAAGCTTCTCTTGAAGCCTCTGATGTACTTCCCAAGCAGCGGAACCGTCAGATATCTCCATCCTGTTGCTTGTAGACGCCAGAAGCGACTCGAGGGGTTTCGGATGTTTTGAGCTTTAAGTCGTGCGGCTACGCCGCCAGCCGTGGCGTCCTTCTTTCTACCGCCCTGAAAGTCCGAAAGTCCGGAGCTCCAGCGTTTTCCAGGCGTATCCTCGAGCAGCGACTCTGGAGCCCAAGAAGCTCCCAAGAAGGGGCCGAAGGGGTGGCTGGATGCAAAGCCCGCAGAGGCGCAACGAAGGGCCGTCTCTCGGTGTCTTAACGGGTCTGGTCTCAGAGCATGGAAGTGCGACACGAAGGCTGTCGCGCCATTCAACCTGGAATAGAATAGCCAGTCCGGAATCATTGTGAACAGAACCTGCCCAACCCATACCCTGAGACCCGATAGTGTGTCTTGTCCGTCGCCTCCTGTCTAGACTCCTTCAGCCTTCCTGGGTTTGGACAAACCTCAAAGGCCCGGAAGCCATGAGCCTTCAGGGTTTAGGGCCGTCTTAGAGAATTCGAGACGTTTGGGGGTTGGGCATAAGGCCGTCTTAGAAATTACGGAGTCTCCAAAAAGATTCCTGTTTGTGGTTCATTCTAGGACCCTAACCATAAAGTATGTTTTCGGATGAAGCTCGATCTGAAACTCCGGGGGAATGGAGCCCCCAACGGTAGTGCGCGAAATTATTCGCAAAGCATAAGACTTGCTGTCCTTCAAAAGAAAGCTCCCGCCCCCTCGGGCCCCCCGCGCACGGGTCTTGGTCGTGTGATTGTCCAACGTCTCGTTTCTTGTTGGCTGAGATCTTGGTCGATACTCTGGCTCCCTCTTTTTGAGCAAGACATTGGGCAAGAGGCCTTGGCCAAGATCTTGGCTCAAATAAGTGAGACCTAGGTCAAATTTAACCAAGATATTGGTCGAATGTGGGCTTGGCCGACTGTGTGGGTTGTTTTGTCTTGACCAAGATATTCGTCAAGTTTAACCAAGCTCTTTGTGGGTGCACAAGAAATTCTACATCACACCTAGGTTTTGCAAAAAACAAACCAAATCACGCTTGTTTGATCAAAATGAAACACAATCACACTTTCTTTTGATCTAATCTGACAACGATCTTGGTCAAGTTTAACCAAGATCGTGGTTAAACCACAATGACCACGATTTTTGCAAACATCGGCCAAGATGTTGTGTGTGTGTGTTTTTTTTGGGGG